TTATAGGTATTCAAATAAACACTTATATGTCGCCTATAAAAAACGAAATTATAACTTCTTTCGTATTTTTTAATGATATTTTAAATGTACATGTTATTAGATAGGTTCGTACTGCCGACAATGATATTGTTTTGTAAATATCTTATTGTGCATATTCTACATGTTGGCACACAATGTGTAATCAAGAGAACAAGCCATTTATCAACAGTACGATTACTGGGAAGTGGTGATAAAGCCGTACAACAAATATTATTTCGTATATTATTATAGAACGATATGTATTATAGTATTATACATTCATGCACCGTGGTAAATTTCAATTATGGCATCCTGAATGAACGCATAGTGAGAGATAAATCACCGAAAGCTGATGCTTCGTGATAGGAATTTACTAAAATGGAGAATTACAAAAGTTAATTACTTATGTATAAATCTTTGGTAGTTTGGAATCTTTTTTCATCTATCTTCAAAAGAGTAAATGAAGAAAAGGGTACCTAACGGGAGCCTCAAAATTATAATTTAGGTTAATTGAAAATAAATGCATTTGTACAAAAAAAAATTTACCAAATACCCATAAGGTAAAATCAATAATAATTTTTTTTATATTTTGATTTAATTATCTTATAAATATAATATTCCACAACAAATTTATTTTTCAGAACAGCATCGTATATTAAATATATACCTACATAAAAAATAATCTTCACTAAACAATCCTATCTGATGGATTTCACCTCGTATACGTATACAAACTCCCCACCACATTTTTGTTTATCGACGATCTTACATGAAACGATCCTCGTATAATTTATAAATAAATATTAATTCAGGCAAACTGGTATGGATATGGGTATGGTACGGGTACGAGTACGCTGGTGGGGACGCACACTATCAAAATATGTGACGTTATCTGCTTGCATTATGAATATTACTACGAAATCGTGAGTTTGTCCCTGTAAAGTCAACGGAGACTGAAGTCAATAAACTCGAATTTATCAGAACCGGAATATGTTTTTGCATACCATTATTTCTTTTTTTTGTTTCTTCCGAGAAACTTTTTTAAAATACTTGTATAAAAGTGTACATTGCCAAAATGAGTTTGTAATTCAGAATTTGCGCTAAAACCATGTGTAAATAACATTCACACAACATTCATGTATTCAAAGCATTAGAACAATAGACGAATTTCGACAAGAATTAAGGAACAAAGCTACCTATTCAGTCCGTTGACCTGACCACTGCAATAATTATCTCTATTGAATAACATCCATTGGAAGGTTTAATCGATAATTCAATAGTTATACCTCCTATATGTAACCTCTATGTTATAGTTAATAACTAAACAAAAACCTTTCAATAGAATTTATGAGTTGTAATGTTATTCCGTAATTTTAATACCTACACATATTTTATACCAATATTATTCTATCCCAGCAACGCATCAGAAATCTGAATCCTTATATCTAACCAATTTTCAGAATAACGAAAACATTTTAAGAGAAAAGTTAAAAAGATTAAACGTTAAACAATTTTTCTTCCATGAAATATTTTCACTGTTGGAATAGAAATACAATGCAATACGCATGTAGATTCAATCGCTGAAAGATCGATCGAGAATTCGAGTAAATAATTTTAATTTTATTTCAATAAATAAGCCAACCTATGCTTGCAAATAGGATTTTCGGATAATTATAGGGCATTACTGCTAAAATCGATAGGAACGTTAAGACTGGCACATACACCAGCCGAGCCCGGGATATTAAAGACGAGGGGCAAAGTACCGACTCACAATACCAATACAATGCATTTCTAAAGATCCCGATCATATTGTTTGAAGACAATTCAAGAAGTTGGAGAATCCAACTTTGAAAACTTGCTTGTATGCAGTTCGTCTTTATTTAGATTCGCAATCGGAATATCGAAATGGATGTGGATCGATGCCAAAATTGGAAGAAACCATGGAAATTTGGCACAGAAACTGACTGTATATCATTGGAAAATATTATAATGCCGGTTATTATGCGATTGTTTTTATTTCAATTGCAGTATACTCCTGTTTTAATACCTACATCGGGATATTTTCCCGTATATTTTAAGATTTAAATGAATTTTTATCTATTTTTGTGATCAAAGTGCGGGTTTTCTGACCTATCTTCAAAATAAGTAAGTAAATAGTAAATATACTATTTCTATTGTCCCCAATACAATTTTGTATTGCAAAAAAGTCACATACCCTAATAAAATGCTATTTTATTCACACGAATTGTAATCTAATCTCCGATACAAAAAAAGCTTCCTATACGCTCTCTAATAGATTTTTTATTAAAAAGCTAACGTGACATTCTGTTCGTTAGCGCGTACAAAAGAGAATGAAGTAATTTCATTAAAAATAGATACTTCTCTACTCGTACAATTACGGACTATCGAAAAATGAATTTCGCGAGCCATTTTTAATGCAATTTCCCAACCTTTTAATGCGGGAATTAACGCCTCCAAACTCAATTTTACCGTTCCACTTTGTTGCACTTTTCAGCTTTTCGATAGCCCGATTCGATTGAATCGAACGTAAAAGAAGTGCGATGAAACGTTTAGAGTTGCGCTCGTCACAAAGAAATGATTATATTATCAAGCTATTTCAAGTATTCATTTATCCTAAAATAGAAATTTTATTGGGAAACTAAAACAGGTTTCGAGATTATCCATAAAGCGAGAATGAAAAGTAAGTAGGTACTTGGATACTTTACTAGAGAATCCTATGATTTAATGTTGTAATTATTGTAGGTAATTGAAAATTACGGTGGAAATTATTAACATTTTAGGTTACAAAGATGCTACAATGTGCATGCAGAGAAGCATAAAACTATAGTCATATACCGAAGGTCAGACGGGCTCACATCAGGATAAAAAAATAAGCTGCTTTAAAAGGTTAACAGCAAGTTGCAAAAAGCAAATGAGCAATGTGTAGGTAGGTTATAGGTAGGTAGGTATACAGAATGATTAATTCATTTCCATTCAGAATATTAAAGAAAAAATAATAAAAATAAAAAAACGCGGAAAATACCAAATAAAGAGGATTAAAATTGTTCTAAAGGATATGATGGTTATAACAACTTGTGTAGTACAGTATACAATAAACAATGCTGCAGTTTACAATGTTTATACATTGATCAGATACCTGCTATATGCCGTTTAAAAAACGATGAATAGAGGTAATTTCATATTCATACATCATACTTCATAACCGCATTAAATTTAAATCGATCCGACATCCAGCTCGCAATAATCGCATTTACCCAGATCAAACATACAACTCGATCGGACAATTCGAAATTGCCTATTGTTCCGCCGCGGCCAGTGCCCGGCCCGGCGCGAGACAGCGCGACATGTGCGCCGGGAGCCGTCGCCGAGAAAATCGCCCGTTCGTTTTTCTGAATGTAAACAGCAATGCGGACGACGGAGGAAAGCAGTAGGAAGCGAAAAGCTGAATGAAAGAAAGGGAAGATGGGCGAACAGAACGAGCGCGTAAGTGTATATTGTTCGCGTAAAAAGACCGAGAGGGGAGACGGTCGAAGAAGATCCGCGACGACCGACGGACAGGCTTACGGCAGGTTGAAAAGAGAAGGGGGGACGTGCACGCACAAACACACTCGGATCACACATACACGGTCACAAATATGCGGAGCGGAACTGGAAACAGAGGTGGATTCCGATTTGGTGCGGCAAATATTTTTTTTGGTAGCCCTTTAATAAGAATTCTGAAAACTAAAGAATGAAAGAAAAATTGTTTTTTATTAATAAATTATACACTAGTCTAGTCTGTTTTGCAGTCATTAGTCCATATTTATAAAAATGAAGCGTTTACATTGAAGTAAAAGGTAAAAGGAAAAGATAAGAGAAAGGTTTTAAAACCTTAAACAAAAGTTTTAAAACCATCAAATCTATGGCTTTAAAGCAATAGCAGAGTCCTCGAAGCAAAACCTCTCTTCCTTCTCTTCTTTTTATGCATATACCTTGAAGCGATTACTTCATTTTTTGAAGCAAAAGGTTATGCCTCTTTTAATAAATACGGCTTAATGTTTCGAAATGGTTTTACCTAATACAAGAACATTAGAGTTGAAAGTTATACCGTTTTAGTGCTTTCAGGTAATGTAAGTACACTCTGTTTATAAACAAACTATGTTTTCCACATACGAGTACATTAGCAGGTATTTTCTCTAGAGTGGTAAAACAAAACACCTGGTCACCCAACTCAATTAGTTTTAAGCAGGTAAAAACACCTGATAAACTTTAACAAGAGGTAATACTGCATTCAAATTTAACAATCCCATGAAGCAATATGTTTATTTCACAATTAAAAAATTTATAATTCGTTCTAGTATTATACCAGCATGTTCATCATATTTTTACTAAGTTCCTTTACTACCTATGGTGGCCTGTCTATCGATTAGTATCTTTTAATATGTAATTCTGCTATTTCGTGCATCCACCTTTTCCGTGCACAAAATTCCCCGCAACCATTATTTTCCATTTAGCGGCAATTTCATAGCCCAACTGAATATCACGCCGCTCGATTTCTTTGCAGTGCCTCTATTAAAGTTAACGAAATATAAACTACACGCCACCATAAAGAAGCTTTTAATATCATCGCAGCTTATAAAATACCATAATACATCAGTACTTGCGAATGCGATTATTTTATCAGTCAATTTCCAAAAAATAATAAAAAATTGAGTACATCACGTATTAACACATTAACACGATAATATTTAGTGTTGAAATAGGAGCACGGTATGCTTTCCAAATGTCGTAAAATCGATCGAAAATCAATTTTCTCAACGAGTCGCGAAATTTCCCACGGTCGGGGCCCGGATCGGCGCTGGGCCGGCCCTGCGTACAGGGCGTGTGGCCCGCGCGTCGAGTCGATCTCTTAAAGGCGAGCGACTCGAACGGCCGTTCGTTCGGTTCGACGCATCGCGTGCCGCGCTCGCAACTATCAACCTTTAATTGTCGTCTATCCGCTTTAACGAGTTGGTTCTCTTAATAGCTCGTGTGGTTTTTGTCACTTTGTAACGTTTTGCCGGTGTCGCACTGTTTACATTCGGAGTTATTTCCATCTTTGGTCGCGTTCGGGTCACCGTTTTTTTTTTCACTCTTCTATTCTTCCTCGTCATCGGGGACGATTGACTGGGTTGTGGTGATAACGCGCTCATGTGGTTGTGCGAGCATCCCGGAGGAAGTCGGGAAGAGCCTGATAAAAGGTTGTGTCGTTTTGGATTCAAAAGATATGTTATGTTATCGATGTGTTATACCCAGCATAAACGGTTCTATCCTAGGCATGGCTGATTGGTGAACCCAAATCAGTAGATAACCTACTGGTGAAGTTCTCAAAAGTAGTTATCGAAAAGTTCTCGAAAGTTAGTCTCGAAAAATAATGAAAATTTGAAATTGTGGCACCAAGATAATACACACACTTGCAAAACTACATAACATTTTATTAGGAAAAAACCTGTATGTACCTACAATGTATAATCCAAATATCAGATATAATATTAACAAGTTAAAGTTACTTATCTCGTACTAAACTTCAACATTCTCATTGTAAATAACTACAATATCGATTACAAAACTACGAGATATAATCGAATAAAAAAATAGATTAATGCCAAGATGTCTATGCTATCTTAATTAGCCATTAGAGACCATCATTTACTAGTCAATTCCGAAGTAATTAGTAAGGTAAAATCGGTCTTTCCTTTCTACAAAAACCGTTTTGGTTAATGGTACACGTTTAAAATGCAGGCAGAACCACCTGCTTTTTCGTTATATTACAATGCAATGAGTATTAGAGGAAAACACCTGCACAGGGAGTATACGTTTGCACAAATGTCTCGTTTTAAATTTAAATTAGGAAAAGCAATTTCCACGCTAGTGAGGCTTTTTGCTAATCAGAATTAATTAAATTTAATATTAAGGTTAGGTATAATTTAGTTGCGAGTGCAATGTAAAGAAATTTTTCAAATTGATAAATGGAGTGCAAAAAAACAGAAAACGCATCAATGATAATTAGTTTTTCTATTGCATTGTGAATAATGACATAGTCCTTCTGGTATGCTGTAGGCGGTTTTTGTGAAAATGAATACCATCATGTTACTGAAACGATTAATGTCCCACCGGTGACTTGTTGACATTTCTGTCGTTAACTAATTTTTTCGATTAAAAATGATGTAAGATAAGAAAAACAGTTGCTAACCGTTATTAATCCGTTGGATAAATATGTGGGTACTTATAACATGCATGTGGTTTTGAAAAAAGTTAAAACATAAAACGCCATGTAATACCTACATATTTCGTTATAAATTTTGAAATAATCGAGTATACCTACTAATTAAATTTCCGTGCAAAATTATCCAAATACCAGATATATAAATTAACTAATAACAATTGTGTTTAAATTAAACATATTGTTAAATATATTTATTAATATTTATTAGATGACGTGTACTTTGTGACCTTCTGAAAAATTATTACAGGCGCAAACCGATAATGTGGATATATCAAATGCGCTATGGAGCAATATTAAATTATCAATGTATATTTCGCAAAATATCCACCTACATTATGCATCAGGTAATAAACGAAACGTGTAATTTATATTTTTACAAAAATAATTAAGCAAGAAATTAGCATTAAATGTATTGTTACTATTTAAATTCGCCATTATTATTCAAAATACTCATAAATAAATTTTGAAGCAACATTAAAAGGCGTAAATTTTAATTACGAATATTTTAGTATACTTAATACTTACTAACTGTACTTACGACATTAATGGTTTAGTATAATTTGGAAGACTTACCTGAAATAGAAAAAAAGAAAATTAGTTTATGACAAAAAAAAATTGTTTATTCCAAATGCTAACTTGAAGAAAGTCTTCTCTACTCCTTTTTCATTATTTCTACGATAATGAGGGTAAAAGAAACAGAAAATTTCAGGTTTTAGATCGAATTTCCCTAGACTTCTTGATACTACCCGATAGAAGCAACAACGCGCCCGTCCATGTGATAATTTGACCGGCGGGCGCATGCGCCCCGACCACGCCGTTCGGTATTGATCGGATGTCGGTGACGTCACGGCTACTTGTGAATGATCCACTACACAAATTGTTTGTAATTTGTATAAACAGATAGGAAACCGGCGAATCTCGCCCTTGCGGCCCGGCGACGTAAGGGCGCCCGGCCGGCGCATCTTGATTAATTCTACTTAGCAATGTGTGTACGGAATGTTTAATTATTTGAAGGATACGGTAGGTATAGGGGGGTCGATTTGATTTTAGTCGGGCCTTTTCGGCACGAGAAGAGGTTTTGAACGTGTATATGCATTAGAGGAAGGGGAAGGCCAGAACGGAAATGCTCGTTGGATTTTTAGATATACCAGATTTATAAAGGATGCTACACTAAATGTATATTTTTTCATCAGGAATTTAAGAATATTGCAGGTTAATTTTTCTTTTTAATGTTCTTTTTGCCTTGCTTCTCTTCATTCCTTAATTTCAAACAAGCTCTTTTAAGTTTTAATTACCTAACTTCATTAAAATCAAACAGAAAAAAAAATATCCTCATTTTAGATCAAAAGTTAGGTAGGTATTTTCGATAACTAAAAATATAAAATAATGTAATCAGCTTAATATGTAGCAGTAAACAAGTATTAGGTATTAACATTGCGGTCCTTTTTTCGATGCAATTTTTAAACTCCAATTATGACTCGAAAATATTAGCCTTGCTTGCACATATGAGCACATATTCAGCCTATGAAAAAGTGCCTATTATTTGGAACGAAATGTTCAAAAGTATGGTCTATTTATTGTGAATGCAATTAGATTGAATTATTAACAATGCACAGCCTCAAACGCTACTGCTAACAATGTTGAAGGTATATAGGTATAATGCGAAAACTATATGAATTAACTACTGAAATAAACAACCAGCACAATAATTATATGCACATAGTATAGGTATACAGTAATTTTATCTGAAGTGAAATATTCTATAGCTGACGGCGACTTATCAAGTGGCTGGATAAAAATCACTTAAACGTTAAATTCAAATAAAACATACTCAATTTTTCAAAAATGAAAGTTGATTGAAATAACGGGCAATTTAAAAATGTAACGAGTTCCCTGACGGAATATCCTATCTGTTGAGTTAGAGAAATAAAGGCAGGATTTCAGTGTAGCAGTGACGGCAACAGCGCTTCTGTAGGTAACTCCCATAGTATAATTTAAATTATGATTCATGGGCAGATAAATTTTATGAAACCGACTTTCTTGTTTTATTTATCAGGTCTGTTATTTTAGGGGATTTTAACACAAGATGGCCGCCGATTTTTATGTCACATCATTTTCTTGTATGTTCTTCATGTATGTACAAAAATGATAACACCTAAAAATAATAGTGACAATCTAGTCATGACAAAATGAAATAATTAATTTTTAAATAAAATTGTGTCTTGGTTAAATAAATTATTTTACGTGGTTGTTAGTTATCCGCTACAAATCCGGTGTGGCCAAGAAGCGATAAGTATTGTAAAAAGTTCGGTAAATACCTTTTCGTGAGAATTAACGCTAAACTCAAAAATAATTCGCTTCAGTCGTCAAATCCTTGTACATTATAGTCTCATCCAATTAAATTGATGTCAAGCAACAAACAATCTAGTTAACGATGTCAAATTATAATGAGAGAGAAAAAAAAGGCAAAATTCAAATCGAACGAAACGTGCTCGGATAAATTATTATTATCCATCAGGAACTCGTGCAAGTACGAAGATATGAAGAATTCAGTAAAACAAAACGAGAGGTTCAGGTTTTCAAGGTTTTCTTCTAACCCATTTACCCAACAATTATCGACTATTATACTGAATTCGAAATATCATAACGCGTTTTTACGCTTAAAAGAAATCGTTTTCCTTCTACAGCGCATATTCAACAGCAAATCTTTCAGTACTACGAATTTACAATTTAGTAAGTTCAACGACCACCTCGAACTCTATATGCCCACGCGGCGCATCTCCCCTAAGAATACCGTCCAATTTTCAAAAGTACTCTTATGGCTAATAAATCAAATTAGTCCGGCGATAGTGAAGGGAAACAAACGCATCCCGTACGACTCCTGTATAATTCAGAAGGAAAGGATTGAGCGCTCATTGTGCCCCGCCGATAATTCTGATTTAGTATTCACATCTGCGGACCGCGGAGAGCTGCGCCAGGCCCGTCGGGCCCATAAATAGAAAAAGGGGAGCCCCTCCCGCTCCGGCCCCGATCGCCTCTCGACATATGCAAGCCTCTCGCGCATCTTTTAAATTATAATTTTATCAGAGGGCACATCAAGTGCGGAATAGAGAGCGGACGCACCCGCGGAACCGTTACCGTTACAAAATAACACTTTACATACAACCACATCATGATTCATTTCTTCATTGTTCTAACAGTGCACAAATTAAATCGAAATTTTCATGTCAAAGTTCAAGTTCGAAATAATATGTAAGTGTATGTATATTTGAAATTAAAATTGTCTACTGTTTAACAAATCGATTAATTATTGCGTGTAGTATGAGCGAGTTCGAAATTTAATTGGGAATCGCAACATCCCGCTGGGAGTGGAGGAATAAGGAACACGATTTCTTTTTTGTCGCGAAAAGAACTTGGCCCCCGTGTTGCAAACAAATTCGTGTCGTACAAGTGAAAAGGGGACCGCGTATCGATTTAGCCGCCTTTCGCCGTGCGGCGGCGGCGGCGACGATGTCGTAAAATGCCGCCTTCGCTGCCGCCCTCGCGGAGCGGCGGCTTCCAACGACGATGCCGAATAGCCGGACGACCAATGCCGAGGAACTCGGGAACATCTCCCGTCCAAATTGCACTTGGGGATCGGATTCCGGGACACGTCCGAACGGGTAGTTACTGCTTGTTTAGAACGGAATGTTCTCTGCCATAACGCCGTTATGGGGCTCACGAGAAGTGAATTAAGTTGTTAATAATATAACCAATTTTACGATTTGTATGTAACATCCAGTTCATTTCTAGTTACTAACAGAAACTAAAGTAGGTATTTTAAACAATGTGAATGTCGAAATTTACTAGGAAAGTTTCTTCTTAACCGGATTAATCGAGAATAATTTTGATTTTACCAATACTTCGTATCCCCAATAGTAACAGCAATTTTTTGGCGTACCAGAATTTTGCCAAAAAAAACTTGTTAAGTACCTGCATGCTGCACTAATCACACACAGGAATTGCTTAAACTATAATATTCTACTCTACTGTAGTTATTTTTTCGGCATGGATTAAGGGTAGGTATGACCCAAAAAAAGGATTATTATTTTGGTAGGGAATACCGGTGTACAGGGCAGTGTAATAACATTTTTACCCCCAACATTAAGTACTTAATAGAACAAAGAGAAACAAAG